TGAACCTGGAAGGGTCGTTTATACTTTTTCCATGAGGCGGTGGCACGAATCGCGAAGCCACAGACACGAAGCAACAGATAATTAAGAGAAGCATTAAATGCCTGCAGCAGGCGTGGTCAGAGCACTCGATGGCTTTTTCACCTGGCGTATGGCCATACGTCACGGGCATCACGTCACCGGTCATATCGTTTATTATCATTACTCTCTAATAAACGAGGGGACTATCTGTATTAGGTGATACCCTTTTTTGCTTGAGCCCGACCGGGTTGGGTCCGGACCGGAGCAAATCGGGGCCATCGAACCCGACCTGGATGCAAGGTAGAACGACGGCCACGTCTACAACCGAGGTCGAGTCATTTCAAGACCGTTACAGAGCTCGATAGGAGTCACCACCGGATGGAGAAACACACAAGGTCGGAAGCCGGACTCGTAACGGATAACCAAGCGTCGCCGGATATCTCGCCCAAACGTGATTTTCTCAACCACTTCAGGCCATTAAGGCGTAATTACAGGGATCCACGATGTAATCAATTGACCTACCTTATTTTTACCCTTAATCAGAATGTATAAAGGGGGATCTCTCTAAATTCTTGTGGATCATCAAGCACAATTGTTCTAAGCAATATTATATTCTGCGATTATTTACTTTAACAGCAATTGTTGAGTCTTTATCTTTATTTTCCTTAACCTAAAAACCTTTTGTATCTTTTAGTTCACGGATCCTTAAAACCCCATATAAATTCAATTGTTATCCGGATTCGAGGGTAAACAAAGTAAGCTTAGAAAGAAGGGTAATTAAGGAGCTCGATCACTAGCACAAAGATTCTTCAGTCACAACGTTGAACTGGAGATCTCTTGTTAAATTGAAAGATCATAATTATCTAAAGTCTAAACATACCCTTCGAGATGATATTGTATGTACGAAATAAATGACGAACGCAATTGTTTACCCTCGAATCCGGATAACAATTGAATTTATATGGGGTTTTAAGGATCCGTGAACTAAAAGATACAAAAGGTTTTTAGGTTAAGGAAAATAAAGATAAAGACTCAACAATTGCTGTTAAAGTAAATAATCGCAGAATATAATATTGCTTAGAACAATTGTGCTTGATGATCCACAAGAATTTAGAGAGATCCCCTTTTATACATTCTGATTAAGGGTAAAAATAAGGTAGGTAAATTGATTACATCGTGGATCCCTGTAATTACGCCTTAATGGCCTGAAGTGGTTGAGAAAATCACGTTTGGGCGAGATATCCGGCGACGCTTGGTTATCCGTTACGAGTCCGGCTTCCGACCTTGTGTGTTTCTCCATCCGGTGGTGACTCATATCGAGCTCTGTAACGGTCTCGAAATGACTCGACCTCGGTTGTAGACGTGGCCGTCGTTCTACCTTGCATCCAGGTCGGGTTCGATGGCCCCGACTTGCTCCGGACCGGACCCAACCCGGTCGGGCTCAAGCAAAAAAGGGTATCACCCAATACAGATAGTCCCCTCGTTTATTAGAGAGTAATGATAATAAACGATATGACCGGTGACGTGATGCCCGTGACGTATGGCCATACGCCAGGTGAAAAAGCCATCGAGTGCTCTGACCACGCCTGCTGCAGGCATTTAATGCTTCTCTTAATTATCTGTCGCTTCGTGTCTGTGGCTTCGCGATTCGTGCCACCGCCTCATGGAAAAAGTATAAACGACCCTTCCAGGTTCAGCATTTCCTATCTTTCTCAAATTCTGCGTTGGTTGTATTTTCTTTTCATCTCTTCGTAAAGCTTTAAGAAATGGCGAAAACTTCACAAAGTGTTCCTTCTAGACCAAGCTCGGCCGCGAGCCCCGCTAGATCTGATGAACATGCACCAGAACCCCCATTGAAAGCATTCACACCGACTGGTTGCTCGGTATCTGCCGACTTCCAGGTTGAAAACCCATCATCGGTCCCGGGCCGCGGCGAACCGGCATCGGAGTATATTAGTCTAATCACTCCCGGTTGCCTAGACCGGGTGAGGGCTGAATGTAGATGGGAAGGGAAAGACCTGGTCGCCCCTTCCCGTGACGAGTCGATTATGACTCACGTTGAAGGATATCTTAGTGTATATACATATCCCTTCACCTTAGGCCCCTTAGAACCCATCATAGTGGAGTTCTGCCGGCGGTACGAGGTGACCTTAGGTCAGATCCACCCCACGGTGGGCGCCAAACTGTTTACCCTCGAATCCGGATAACAATTGAATTTATATGGGGTTTTAAGGATCCGTGAACTAAAAGATACAAAAGGTTTTTAGGTTAAGGAAAATAAAGATAAAGACTCAACAATTGCTGTTAAAGTAAATAATCGCAGAATATAATATTGCTTAGAACAATTGTGCTTGATGATCCACAAGAATTTAGAGAGATCCCCCTTTATACATTCTGATTAAGGGTAAAAATAAGGTAGGTCAATTGATTACATCGTGGATCCCTGTAATTACGCCTTAATGGCCTGAAGTGGTTGAGAAAATCACGTTTGGGCGAGATATCCGGCGACGCTTGGTTATCCGTTACGAGTCCGGCTTCCGACCTTGTGTGTTTCTCCATCCGGTGGTGACTCCTATCGAGCTCTGTAACGGTCTCGAAATGACTCGACCTCGGTTGTAGACGTGGCCGTCGTTCTACCTTGCATCCAGGTCGGGTTCGATGGCCCCGATTTGCTCCGGTCCGGACCCAACCCGGTCGGGCTCAAGCAAAAAAGGGTATCACCTAATACATACTTGATGTAAATTCAAATTAGCCGGATCAGTAAACTTTGGATAATAATTACATTTAAATGCTTCAAGAGAATGAAATTGTCTTAAACTGGAAGTGGCTGGGAAGGTAAACAGAAGGTTGGGAATGCGTATTTGTTGGTGCAGAAAAAATCAAACTAAGAAAGATCAAAGGGAGTGATCGTACTCATATATTTTTGGGAATTAATTCAATATATTTGCCAGCATGCGAAATCTTTGCGTGGCCATATAATTAATTAGTCACGTCAAGATATTAAGTTCTTGGCCACCATTTCGCATAATATACTAAATACCACCAATTTCAACATTAGGAATGGAAAAAATATTTTTTTTTAATTACTTTTTCTTTGGTGTTCTATTGCTTCACAGAAAAAAAAAATGATAATTAACAAAAAAAAAAAGGAGAGAGAGAAAGAAAAAGGATTGCAACCCAACGGCCAGCTTTTACAGTTTTCCCCTTGCTCTTCCCTTATTTCCTGTTTAAATTTTTCTTTCCAAAGAATGTTACTCCCTCCGGTTTACTTTAATTATTTTTAGCTGTTTTCACACATATTAATTTTAACGAACTTACCTTTTAGCATTAATTAACAATGAATTGACCATATTAACCTTAATATGTTGATTGAAAATATAACAAATACTCCTATAGGTTCTTTACTCCAAGGGTAATTTTGAAAAAAAGAAGTTAATTCCTTCTTGATATTTGAAAAATTAAATATTATGGATCACAAAAAAATGCCCAAAATATCAATTAAAGTGGACCGGAGGGAGTATTCTCTTTTTTGTAATCATAGCAATTTTTATTTAAAAAAAAAATTAATGTGCTTATGTTAAAACCACAATTTTCTAGGATATTTTACAAAAAACAAACGTTAAAAATAAAATAAATGAGAAGGTTAAAATTGCATTGATTTCATCAGTCGGAAAGCAAGTTTAATTGATAGAAGGTGTAGGTTTTGTTTACCAAAAAAGATCAAGCATATGCATCAACAAAGTAACTTCTTTTCATTTATCTTTTCCTTTTCTGTTAGTTTCTTCAGATATTGGTTGCTATAAATAGGCAGTGGTCTAGTGATTGATTTTCCAATATTAACTCCTCCATCTACTCAACTTCTTCCCAGATTTTCTCTCTTCCATTACACCTTTTTTGTGTGTTTCAGATGGCTGCCATGCAAATATATTCTTGTTTGCTCCTTTTCCTGATCATGTTGGGTACGTCTTTAACTCTTTTATTACCCCAAGTCCTTATGATTAATTAATTCTTTATTATTTCTTATTGCAAGTTTTTTCTGATATTAATTAATTCAAAAGAATTTCATGGTATTGCAGCTCGAATTAACTTCCCTTTCTTCTCTCATGTCTTAACTGCAAATTTTATATCATTCGCTGGTAACCGATCTTTAATTTATTAAGAAAAACAATAAGCAAAAAGAGGCAAAAGTGAGGGAGACTAGACGAAAACTTCGACAATGTAAGATAATACCCTCAATTTCTCTTTTATAAAACTTTTAGCCAATAAAAAGCGTCTGCACAGAGTAGTTCTGTTCAAAATATTCATATTTAGAGTTTTCCTTTGGTTTTTGTTTGAACTTTGTCGACTAAGTCATTAGAGTATTACAAAACATGTCATTTGACAATTTATTCACATAATCATCAAAGAAAACAACATATATGTTGTCCGTTAAAGAATCAAGATTGAGCTGTTGTCGAACCTTTTTTTAACATATACTTCACCCGTTTCAATTTAGACGAGGTAGTTTGACTCGGCACGGAGTTCAATAAAAAGCCGAAGACTTTTAAAATTTGTGGTCTTAAAAGCTTAAGGGGTAAAAACTTCGTAGTGTCATAACATTTGTGTGGTCATAAAAACTTCTCATTAAGGGTAAAATAGGTAGAATGAAGAGTTTAAAGTCAGAATTATTTTCAAATTTAAAAACAGTCTCATTTATTTTGAGTTGGCTTTTACTAGTAGAAGGAAAGTACCTCATATTTAATTTAAAACGGAGGGAGTACCATTTATATGATTGGCCAGTTAGGTTCAACTAAACTCATTCTTGGAGACTTGAATAATGATATAATTATTTTGAGTTGGCTTTAACTAGTAGCATATTAGCTCATCATACTGTATCATATCATGCAGAAGCAATCACGTTATTTCAGCCACTGTATTCACCTTGCAAAACAACTGCCCCTATACGGTATGGCCCGGTACACTTTCCGCCAAAGGTGCCGCCATCTTAGGGGATGGCGGCTTTTCATTATCCCACGGTGACACCATCCACCTACCAGCTCCTTCCGGTTGGTCAGGCCGGTTCTGGGCAAGAACCGGATGCACTTTCGACAATTCCGGTAACGGAAAATGCATCACCGGCGACTGCGGTGCACTAAAATGCACTGGCGGTGGTGTACCGCCAGTGAGTCTAGCAGAATTCACCATTGCCAAAAGCAACAATGAGAAGGACTTTTACGATGTTAGCCTTGTGGATGGATACAATGTGGGTGTCGGTATACAGACTTCCGGTGGCTCCGGTGACTGTCAATACGCCGGTTGTATCGCCGACGTGAACGGAAACTGTCCGACAGAGTTACAGGTCTTGGATAATTCTGGTAAGGTTGTGGCATGTAAGAGTGCTTGTGCACAGTTTAACAAGCCGGAATATTGTTGCACCGGCGATCATGCAACGCCTCAAACTTGCCCGCCGACGCATTATTCTCAGTTGTTCAAGAACGCGTGCCCTTCTGCTTATAGTTATGCATATGATGATGCTTCCAGTACCTTTACTTGTTCTGGTTCAGACTACTTGATCACGTTTTGCCCAAGCAGTTCTTGATCAATTTGATGATTGCTTTGAGATTATTATTATTATTATAATTAATACTTATGTTTTGTTGCACTATTGGGCTTAAATAAAGCAGTGAAAATTTTCTATAGCCGATCTTAACTTATTGGTCTGGACATAGTTATTGTTGTTGTTGTTCAATCAATATAAAGATTTAGATATGGTTTTATGCTAAATTGGTTGTTATGTAATGATTTGGCACTCATGATGCATTTAAGTTTTATTTTCTTGTCCTAGTAAAGAACTAGTCCTATATATCTATCAATTACACTTTAAGAACTAGCACGTTTAATTAAGTCAATTCTCAAAGATTGTGCCGTTCCTCGGTAGCATATTCGTGCGGATTCTAATCATCATATTTTGACTATTCTACGCTTTGCAACACTAGGTACCGTAGTCTGTTTAACCGTAAAACGATACCGGTAAAAGCCAACTAATTTCATCCAAAATTAATAAAAAAAAATAAGATTAAAAATGAGATCTAGCAATTGAAATTAATGAAGATGAAAAGCTTGGCTCTGAGCGCAACCGAGGACAGAAGTGAAAGCAATGATAAAGAACAAGTAAAATTATTTAATCGAGCGCAAAAGTGTCACAATCCAAATTCGACTATAAGACGTGATGGCGCTCAACGTTACTGCTAAGCAAGCCAACAGTGAACTAGCCACATGATTGTTTCTTTTAACATTTTAGAAATAACTAATTTTTAATTTGTGCATAAATAGGAAGTAAGAATTTAATAAAATGAGAGATCAATAATTTTGAAAGCAAGTGAGATAAGTAAATATCCAAAAATCATCATGTGTCGATTAGTAAAATTTTCAAGACCTAGTGTTACAAGTGTATGAGCTACTAGTAGAATATACAAAAGAATATTAAACTACTGTCTGAAATGAAATAGACAGAAAGTAAATGCAATAGAAAGACTTCAAGTTCTGCGTAACGGACTAAGAAGGCAGCTCACCACGAAGTCTCGAAGGAATCAGGAGTGCGCACCGGGATGATAACCAGATGCACCTGCCTCAGATCCTGCACGGGTAGTACAGAAGTGTAGCGTGAGTACATAAACAACATGTACCCAGCAAGCAACTAGTCTAACCTCGAATAAGTAGTGACGAGGGGTCCACTTCGACACTTACTATGGGCTGATAATGAAATACTTAAACTCTAAATAAGCATGGGGTATGTAAATGATAATAAAACTCAATAACAAGAAATAAATAACCAATTCTTTCTCCGATACTAAGTCCCAAATCCATTTCTATCATTGAATCATTTAACCTCTCAAGCCAATAGAAACGATATCAACTATAATTGGGCTCCAAATATTATTACGCACGAATCATGCCGAGGACGTACGACCAGATCCAAAATACATATACATATACTGTGTGCATTACCGAGGGTCGAACGACACGAACCGTAGATGCATCTATTAATCTGCCGAGCGACGACCCATTCCCATGAGAGTAGTGGAATTTACCTCGCTCGCGGAATATACTTGCGACGCGAGTGAACATAGATTTCTCAAAGTTATCATAATATTCTTCAATTCATTCAAAAAATAAGAAATTCAAACTGGAAATTTTTAAGTCTTGAAATCCTCAATCTCAGCTCTATTCAAGGTAAATAATAAGCATAATTAAATAATGGTGTCAATAAGGCATGGTGTAAACCTAAGGCTACCTGGACATACGCATAATTAATAGTTACGTACGGAATCTCGTCACATCATGCGTACGTATCCCCCACAAATAGAAGCACATATTAATTCAATTTACCTATGGGGTTAATTTCCTCTTACAAGGTTAGAAAAGAGACTTACCTCGTCTCAAAGCTTACTTTCCGGTCCATAATTGTGCTTTAAACCCTCAATTAGGTGCCAAATGACTCGAAACTAATCAAATGTTATATAAAATAGTCAATGCATGTTCAAAAGTTCATATCCCAACTATTAAAGTGATTACCCATTCTCAATTGAAGAATTTCTAAACTTCACCCCCGAGCCCACATGCCCGGATTCTGAAATTTTTTGAAGAAAGTTGTTACCCATAACCTCATGAACTCAAATATATGAGTTTCACCCCCATTCCATAATCATTTTCATTGTTAAATCCTTTTTTTATCAAAACCCTAAGTTTTCCTCAAAAATCCCATAAATCTCACCATTTTTCATGTTAAATCGACTTATAACTCGTGTATTTAGATAAAGAATCGATAGGGATTATATACGGATAAAATCGGAGAGTCCGATTTTGTGATCATTATGGCATTTTACAGCCCGTCTTCAGAAGAGGCGAAGCACAGCTCGAGGTTTGACCCCGAGGGTTCCCAATGCTCGACCTCGGAATAGTATAAATTGGTGGGTATCTTAGATAAGTGGGAAACTCCCAAAAAGCACGTGGCTAAAGCTGACCATGTCTACAAGAATAGTACAAGTCCATACCGTGACATTAAATAGTTGTACCAGCTGCATATCTTTATAATAAATGCATATGTACTATGTTGGGATTCCCCCTCCTATATAAAGGGGACCCTTGTCATTTTGTAAAGACACATGATACTCAATACAAGAACAAGAACATTCTCTGCTCTCTAACTTAAAAAATTTCCATTGTCTTCCCTTTGATTTTATTGCTTATATTTATTGTGTTTTATTTATTGCTCTTCATTTACTACTCATCATTGATCATAAAGAGCCATCATTGAGGCACTTAGAACTGTTAGTCCTTCATCAATCATCCCTAGTCAAGCTCACTAGCTCAACCTCGAGGCCCAGCTTAGGCCAGTCCGAGGCCCCGATTCGCAGTCGTTCGGTTTGGATAACGACACTGCCTCTCACTCTTACTTTATCTTCCTTGCTCATACATAGCATCAATCGCTTAACAACTAGTATTAAAATAAATAACTTATTTTTAAAACCCCAAAATCAAAACTAGTTATTATTATCATTTTCAAGGTAAACAGTTTGGCGCCCACCGTGGGGCTAAAAATAATAGTGATTGTTTAAGTGTTGGTTTACTGAAAAAAACACAAGTTATTCTTCACACTTTTTGTTGTCCAAGAATCTTTGATTTCAGGTCATAATGTCTAACTCATTAAATGCACATGAAAACAACGGTCCTGAGGACCATGGAGAGAATGGTGTAGCTGTTCGAGGCGTCGGTGTACCACTGCGAAACCCTGAGAACGCACCAGAACCAATCCCCGTGGATGTGGGCTCATGCAACGCCCAACACGTCGATATAAGCTCCCTCACTAAGGCGGGGAAACGCCAAGAAAACCAACAAGAAGCTCAGAGAAGCCTAGCTCGGGAGGAACGAGAGGTTAGCACTCACATCATTTTTGAGATGTTGCAGGCACAATAGCTAGAGATTGCTCAACTGCAAAGCCACCAAAATACTCTAAGCACAGCAGCACCGAAAATGGCTCCTCGAGCCGAACAAGTACCGGAAAGATAGAGCAACAATGGGTAAGCAGCCGACCCCGCTATTATAAAATTCTCGAGGATGTCACAAAGAGGATTGAATCGGCCGAAAAGAAGATATAGAAGCTAATGACAAAAAGGTGGAGACCTACAATTCAAGGGTCGATCAGATCCCGAGAGCACCCCCGATTCTGAAGGGTGTAGATTCAAAGAAATTCGTAAAAAAGCCATTCCTTTCGAGTGCTGCTCCTAAGCCTATCCCGAAGAAATTCAGAATGCCCGATCTCCCGAAGTACAATGGAACCTCGGACCCCAACGAGCACATCACTGTTAGCTTACACTTGTGTTGTAAAGAGAAACGACCTGAGGGACGACGAGATTGAATCCGTCCTATTAAAGAAATTCGGACAAACACTTTCGAAAGGGGCCATGATGTGGTACCACAACCTATCCCCGAATTCGATAGACTCATTCCCCATGCTGGCGGATTCTTTTATAAAGGCACATACCGGTGCCATCAAGGTTGCTACAAGGAAATCCGATGTCTTCAAAATCAAATAGATGGAAAACGAGATGCTGCGGGAGTTTGTATCTCCCTTTCAAATAGAGCGAATAGAATTACCACCAGTCTCCGACGACTGGACAGTGCAAGCCTTCACCCAAGGTTTGAACGAGCGAATCTCGATAGCTTCAAAGCAGCTAAAGCAGAACTTGGTTTAATATCCCTCCGTGACTTGGGAGGATGTCTACAACCGGTATCAATCAAAGATTAGGGTCAAGAACGACCAACTAGGAGCCCCCTCGGGCTCAGTATATCCAAGCAGGCTCCTGGCAAAGGAACCAAATCCAAAGAAGGAAAGGCACCAACCATACACTGAAGATCGAAGAAATGCCCCAAGGCGTAACAGACCCCGAAACGACCAAAAGGAACATTGAGGTCATAATCCCTGGGGACTCATGAACAGAGCCGGATTTGACGGACACGAAGGACCGACGGAGGCACCCCGATTATCTGAGTACAAATTCAACATCGATGTTTTGGACATCATATCAGCCATAGGTAAAATCAAAGACACCAGGTGGCCAAAACCTATACTATCAGATCCGTCGTAAAGAAACCCTAACTTGTTGTGCGAATATCACGGCACACACAGTCATAGGACCGAAAATTGTAGAAAAACTCCGGGAAGAAGTATCCCGACGAATTATCTAAGGGCACCTCCGAGAGTTCCTCAGCGACCGAGCCAAAAATAAATTTCGCGAAACAAAAGTGCCACAACATGTCATCCATATGATCGTTTGAGGAATCGACATCCCACAGGAACCCATTGTCAAACGAACAAAAATATCCATCACCAGGGAAAAGCGAACTCAAGGTTACATACCTGAGGACGCTCTCACATTCAGCGAAGAGGACATCGAGACCCTGTCTCAGCCTCATAACGACGCATTGGTAATTTCTTTTCTTGTGAATACATTTCAAATTAAACGTGTGCTTGTTGATCCAGGTAACTCTGCCAACATTATTAGGTCGAGGGTGGTGGAGTAGCTCCGACTGCTCGACCAGATCGTGCCCGCCTCCGAGTCCTCAACGGATTCAACATGGTGAGCGAGACAACAAAAATGGAAATCACCCTCCCGATCAACGTGGCCGGCACAACC